GAAAAAGTCCTAAGCATAACCCTTCCCCCTCACAGAGAGCAAAACAACAAAAGTTATTTTTAAAATAACATATAAAGAAATGTGTAATTATTTGTAAGATCTGAATAACACAGTAACCCAACGTTTTCTAAGTTCACTAAATTTCCAAGCATGATGTAACAAAATTACATATGGTAAAAATAATCTATTCAAAGAGAAAGAATGTATAATGGATTGTGATGTAACAAACCAAGAAAAGTTCATGACGTAATTTATGATTCCAGGAGCCTGAGCAATAATATAGCAGGCCTGGCTTTTGCCTTGCACTCAGCCAACAGCCAACATAGGTTTTATCCCTGGCATCCCATATGGCTCCCTCCCTGAGTCCTTCCAGGAGTGATCTCTGAGTTTAGAGTCAGGAATAAACTCATGACCATCACCAGAGAGGCCCCCAAACAAACAAAAATTATGTACACAAAGGCATCTTCAAAGATGAAACACTACTAACCAAGCAAGTGGAAGCAAAGATAAACAAATGGAACTACATTAAACCAAAAAGCTTCTATACCTCAAAAGAAACAGTAATCAAGATACTAAGACAGCCCACAGATTGGAGGGAAAATATTATTCGATACCCAGCTTATAAGGGATTAGTATCCAAGATATATAGGCACTTGTGGAAATTTACAAGAAAGCAAACAGTGGGTCTGGAGTTGCAGGGGGCCCCGGTAACCACTCTCCGGCCCGCGGAGGTGGCCCAAGGATTGATCCGATGGTGCAAGGAGGGACCAACCGAATGAACACGAGACACAAGAGACAGAGTACAGTTTAGAAATAGAAAAAGAGAGAAAAAGGGACAGGCTTTATTGAGGGATACAGGCTGTTTATATAGGGTCTGTGCAGCTCAGTCAGGAGCAGAAGCAATATAACCATATATGGTAAGGTCAGCAACAAGAGCTTTATCTAACATTCAAGGTAGACATTTGCACATCAAAGGGTTTTGTGGCAGTAGGTGCATCCTGAGCTTTACATTTGTATATCAAAGGGTTTTAGGGAGTAGATGCATCCTGGAGGTTACTATAGATAAGGCCAGATAAGCTGTCAGCCTGATGTGTGGCTATAGATCAGGTATCCACAGAGATCAGGAAGTCCTGAGAGACTGTCACCAATGTCTGTTCCAAGCAGTTCCTAACATGGGAACCATGGCCAGGGTCTATGAGAGGGCTTTTGGCTTCCCACATGGAGTGATATAGCACAGCGGGTAGAGCATTTGCCTTCCACGCGGCCCTACTCAGGTTTGATTCCCAGCATCCCATGTCCCTCGGCACGGCCAGGAGTAATTCCTGAGTGCATGAACCAGGAGTAACCCCTGTGCATCGTTGGATGTGACCCAAAAAGAAAAAGAAACAACATCCAACCCAATCAAAAAATGAGAAGAAAAAATGAACAGAAACTTCCTCAACAAAGAAATACAAATGGCCAAAAGACACATGAAAAAAATGTTCTACATCACTAAACATCAGGGAGATGTGAATCAAAACAACAGTGAAATATTCATCTTACACCACAAAGACTGGCATACATCAAATAGAACAAGAGCACAACCAATCCTGGCATGGGTACAGAGAGAAAGGGACTCTTCTTCATTGTTGGTGGGGATGCTGACTGCTCCAGCCTTTTTGGAAAATAAAATGGGCATTTCTCAAGAACCTAAAAATTGAGCTTCCACACAAACCAGTGATAGCGATAACACATCTGGTAATATACCCTGGAAGCCAAAAACACACAGCAGAAAAGCTATCTGCACTCTTATGTTACTTGCAGCACTATTCACAATAGCCAGAATCTGAAAACCACCCAAGTGCCCGAGAACAGATAACTGGTTAAAGAAAATGGTTCATCTACACAAAGGAATACTATGCAGCTGTTAGAAACAAATGAAGTTTTGAAATTTGCTTATAACTGAATGGATATGGAGAATATCATGCTGAGTGAAATGAGTCAGAAGGAGAGGGACAGATATAGAACGATTGGACTCATACATAGTATATATAATTAAATATATATTAATATCAACTTGATCACTTGATTACTTGACTTCCCATTAATAATCGATTTGCTAGAGTGGGCGCCAGTAACATCTCCATTAGTCCCTGTCACATGCTAATGTAGCCCAATGGTGTCTGTTCATTCTAGGAACACGAAGAGCCTCAAACTGATCGTTCAGGCTCTTGACAAAGAAGTCTGACCATCTCGTAGGTGGGTGGCCATGCACCCACTTTTGATGCGTGGAATCCAGTTGGTAACAGCTCTAGTCCAGTGGTCATCTCCAAATCTCATTACGTGTTCAGCCCATCTGATTTTCAACGCCTTGGCAAATGAGACAGCATCCCTGATTCTTGATCCACTGAGGTCGGAACTCCGAATTCTTTCTCTCATTTGAGTGAAATGTGATACTCCAAGCATAGATCTTTCGATTCCTTTTTGGGAGACCCGAATAGCGTTCTCATCTTGTTTTTGTAGAGCCCAGTTAATATCAACATATTAACATATATTAATATATATTATAATAATATAATGTGAGCCCAATACTTAAAGAAAGTAGAAATGAGGGCCAGGAGGATTGTTCCACAGTTGGATGCTTAGCTAAAATGTTGGAGGAGAGGACAGTTAAGATAGAGAAGTTACAATGATGAACAAAGATAGCGGGAAAGGATCACTTTAGATAAGAACTTTGTATGCTGAAAGCAGGTAAGAGAACAATCATAATAAACTCTAAGTACCTGTATTGCAAACCATAAGGCCCCAAGGGGAGAGAGAGAGATAATAGACCCAGAGAAAGAGGGAGAAAGAGAGAGAATGAGAGACAGAAAGACAGACAGAGAAAGAGACAGAGACAGAGATATACAGAAGGAAAGTGCTTTCCATAGAGACAGGCTGTGGGGAGGATGTTGGGAGGGAAACTGGGGACACTGATGGTTGGAAATGTACACTGGTGAAGAGATGGGTGATGGAACATTGTATGACTGAAACCCAACCATGATGAGCTTTGTAATTCTATGTCTCACTGTGACTCGATTAAAAAAAATACATACACAGTTAACTTGTGAAGGAATTGTTGCTTTTTAAATTTGGGGTCCCATTAAAACTGGAATTTTTATAATTTTCTGAAAAGGGTTGTTAAAATTCTCTTTACTTTTAAAAGAACATATCTCTCTGAGACAAGAATTTTCTTCAAAAATGTTGGAAAGCAACATCCAATAAATTGAATGCAGAAGCAGATATGGGAATCCAGCTGCCTTCTATTAAACTAAACAATAATATTTATACTCACAGAGACTTCAAACTATATATATTGTATTGATTGAATTAGAGGATAGACACTTTTATGCTTAAGTAAAATCTAGATTTTACCTCCTCTAACCTGAATTAACAGGCAGGTATTTTGAGACACTTCAGATTATGGATAGTAAATCAATTTCTTGTGGTGTGCTGACACCATTCGATGGAGACTATATTTGACATTGTGTATTGAAATGAATTTTTAGAGAAAATATGGATTGTTGGGAAGAGAATGTTGTAATTCATTTATAGTATCTTCCATGAGTATCACAGGGAAAATTGCAACATGTGTGTGATAATTTACCACTCCTATTTTACATGATTCTGAATAGCCTGATGTATGTACACCTAACATTTCTTTTCACTTGAAAGGGTCCAAGGTCACCTTAGTGCTTTGTGACATTGATTTAAGAGATTGACATATACAGTACAATTCCTGGCAGGACAATTCTGTCTTACTGACCTTCCATTTCTAGAAAACAAAATGGATTTGAGACTCTATGCTCATTATTCTTACAACCCTCTCTGCTCTTCCTGTTTCTAGAACAATTTTCCTAAAACTTTGCTAGAAATACTTTACTAAGTCTCTGTATTTTCCCAAATGAGTGATTAGGAAAAAACAACAACAACAACAACTAAACTATTCATAAGAGAGAGAGAATTAGTGGGACTATTCCCTTGGGCACTGAGATTCCTCTAATAGTTCAAATGAAATGACAGTCAAATAACTTCTTTATTTGTTCCTTTCCCTTGACTAGCCACCAGAATGTGGACGGTTTGCAGAAAATTCAAGTTAAAAATTGCTTTTCCCCTCCATTTGTATTGTATTTTAATATAATTGGTTGCCTTTTCCCATTTGTCTTGGGGTGGTGACACAGCTTTGGGGGCCCGAGGATGATGAAGTGAGTGAGGAGGTAAAGAAAAAGAAAGTACACACATGAAAAACCCCATCAGCAATACTTCCTCTTATTTATAGTGACAACTCCAAGCAAAATATAAAAATATATTTAAGGAGATGACAGCTTTGTTGCTTCTTGATCACAAACCAGCACTTAGGAGTTCACTTTTGTGAGCAGATAAAAAGGGCCATACCTTGATAAAGCAGGGTGAGAAAAAAGAGAAAAATCAGAAGGGCACTATGTCCTAGACAAAACCAATGCAAGTGCTATAGCACTATAGCACTGTCCTCCCGTTGTTCATCAATTTGCTCGAGCCAGCCCAGTAATGTCTCCATCGTGAGACTTGTTACTGTGTTTGGCCCAGCAATGTCTCCATCGTGAGACTTGTTGTTACTGTGTTTGGCATACTAAATACGGCATGGGTAGCTTTGCTGTGTGGAAGAGATACTCTCTGTAGATACTATCTGTAGCTTGCCAGGCTCTCCGAGAGGGGCGGAGGAATCGAACCAGGCTCTGCCAGACTGGCTGCGTGCAAAGCAAACGCCCTACCCGCTGTGCTATCGCTCCAGCCCAATGCAAGTACAGACATGCTAAATAGAAGGGGGCGTCTCAGGTAATTATATATTAGGTAACTTAGGCTAGGATGAATAAAAACCTCTTCTCATCCACAAACCAGGCTAGAGATTTTAAGACATGCCTTTTAGTAACAACATTTATATTGGTAAACACAACACTGCAACGCCCTCTTCAATTTACTTGACATAAAAATTAGGGAGACACATGCTTACTAGGTTAGGAAGATAGCATGATTATGATGGTGGTTTTCCCAGGGTGAGGCTTATCCATTGCATTCCAGGTGTGCTGCCCGCTGTGATTTCCCCGATTACAGGAAACTCATCTGCAAAATTTATAGTTGTGGCGAACTGCGTTTGTGCTCTCCTGTGGGGGAAAAATAGGAAGAGAAGAGAGAGAGAGAGAGAGAGAGAGAGAGAGAGAGAGAGAGATGAGAAAATACAGTGCATGAAAATCTTTGAAACATCATTTATTCTTATGCTAGATTTATAAGTTTGCAATTTACTAATGGGTACATGTTTTCACAATTCAATGTACATGTGATCTGTGCTAAGCCTTAGGATGGTACCACAGATTCTGTTCTTAAGAAACTCACTATAGCAGAAGAAATAATTTTGTAATGTTCTCCATCGAGTATGTCAGACAGAGCAACTTGTTTTCAGTCCCAACATGTCATCCATTTAACATTATTTTTACTTTTTTCCTTCTATGGTGGATAGATTTTTTTAATGAATCACCATTAGATATAGTTACAAAGCTTTCATAATTGAGTTTCCGTCTTGCAATGATCAAACACCCATCCCTCCACTAGTGTACATTTTCCACCACCAGTGTCCACAGTATCTCTCCCACCACCCCCACCCAATCCCACCCCCTGCCTCTATGGCAGACAATTTCCTTCTTACTCTCTACTTTTGGGCATTATGATTTGCAATACAGATACTGAGAGGTCATCATGGTTGGTCTTCTATCTACTTTTAGCACACATCTCCCATCCCGAGCAATCCCTTCAACCATCATTGACTTAGTGGTCCCTTCTTTATACCAGCTGCCTTCTCCCCCAGTTTGTAAGGCAGACTTCCAACCATGAAACAATTTTCCAGGCCCTTGTCTCTACTGTCCTTGTGTGTTAGTCTCATCTTACATTATTTTATATTCCACAAATGAGTGCAGTAATTCTGTATCTGTCCCTCTCTTTCTGACTCATTTCACGTGCATGATACTCTTCATGTCCATCCGCTTATAAGCAAATTTCATGCAATCATCTTTCCTGACAGCTGCATAGAATTCCATTGTAGATGTATCAAAGTTTCTTTAACTAGTCATCTGTTCTAAGGCACTTGTGTTGTTTCCAGATTTTGGCTATTGTGAACAGTGCTGCAATGAACATATAGGTACAGATGTCATTTCTACTGTGCTTTGTTGCACCCTCAGGATATACTCTGAGAAGTGGTATTGCAGGGTCATATGGAAGCTCAATTTCTAGTTTTTGAAGGACTGTTCATATTGTTTTCTAGAAAGGTTGGACCAGTCGGCATTCCCAGCAACAGTGAAAGTGTGTCCCTTTTTTCCCACATCCCTACCAGCATTAGTTGATTTTGTTCTTTTGAATGTGTGCCAGTCTCTGTGGTGTGAGATGATATCTCATTGTTGTTTTGATTTGCATCTCCCCAATGATTAGCGATGTGGAGCATTTTTTATGTGTCTTTTGGCCATTTGTATTTCTTTTTTTGAGGTAGCTTCTGTTTATTTCTTCTCCCCATTTTTTGATGGGGTTGGAGGTTTTTTACCTTGTACAGTTCTACTAGTGCTTTGTATATCCTGGGTATTGATCACTTGACATCCTGTTACTCATTGATTTGCTCGAGCAAATGCCAATAAAGTCTCCATTCGTCCCTGTCCTGTGTTAGTGTAGCCCCATGGCGTCTCCTCATTCTAGGAACACGAAGAGCCTCAAACCAATTCTTCAGGGTCTTGACAAAGAAGTCTGACCATCTCGTAGGTGTGCGGCCATGTGGTCTTTTAAGGTCCCGTGGAATCCAGTCGGTAACGGTTCTACTCCAGTGGTTGTCTCCAAATCTCATTACGTGTCCAGCCCATCTGATTTTCGACGCCTTGGTACACAAGACAGCGTCCCTGATTCTTGACCATAGACAGAGGATATTAACAATCTGGATATTAATAATCTCTTATTGGATGGGTATTGGGTAAATATTCTTTCCCATTTGGTGGACTCTCTCTGTATTTTGGTCACTATTTCTTTTGAAGTGTAGAAACTTCTTAGTTTGATGTAGTCCCATTTGTTTATGTTTGCTTCCACTTGCTTGGTCAGTGCTGATTCACCCTTAAAGATGCTTTTAGCTTCAATTTCATGGAGAGTTCTGCCTACATTTTCCTCTATGTACCTTATGGATTCATGTTTGATATTGAGGTCTTTAATCCACTTTGATCTTAATGTTGTGCCTGGCATTAGACAGAGGTCAGAGTTCATTTTTTTTTTGCAGGTAGCTATCCAGTTTTCCCAGAACCACTTGTTGAAGAGGCTTTCCTTGTTCCACTTCATATTTCTTGCTCCTTTGTCAAACATTAAGTGGTCATATATTTGGGAGCCTATATATTTGGGAGCTTATCTCGAGGAGATTTTCCTTTCTCAATTTTATGCTTATGATACTTTGTTTTAAATTAAGTGCTGTTAATTTATTTCTGAACTCCAAATTCTATTCTACCGATCACTGTAATTTTCTACACTCCCTGACACATACCATTTGACTACTGTGGCATTATAGAAGAATTTGCAGTCAAGGAATTTATAAGAATGTTATATCTCCATTTTTTTGTTCTTTTTTTTCCTCCCTTCAGTATACATGCTACTTAGAGCCTTTTGTAGCTTGAAGTAAATTTCATGATCATTTTCTATTCTATAAAAAATGCTTCTAATAGGGATTACATTGAATATATATTGTTTTAGACATTTTAATGATACAAAATTTCTATTCCATTAATCTTTGAATTTTTAAAAAAATCTTCTATATTAAATCACAGTGAGATAAGCAGTTACAAAGTTGTCCATGATTGGATTTCAGTCCAATGTTCCAACATTGTATACACTTCCCACCACCAATATGTTCAACTTCCCTCCTTCCACACCCTCTCCACCTCCAGTCTGCCTCGAGAGCATATACCTTTTTTTCCTCTTTTCTTTTGGTCATCATGGTTAGCAGTACAGATAATGTAAGGTTATCATGTATATTTCTTTATCTGCTTTTAGCACTCAATTCTTTCCAAGAGAAATCATTTCCAGCTGTCATTGTCATAATGCTCCCTCTCTCTCTCCTAAACTGCCTTCTTCCCTTCCGCCACACTTGTGATAAGTTTCCAATTGTGGGTTAGTTCTCCTGGCCCTCATTTCTATTTTCATGGGTGGTAGTTTCATTTATAGTCAATAAATGAGTGTGATTATTTATATCTGTCCCTCTTCTTTTGACTCTTTTCACTCAGCAGGATATCGTCCAAGTCCATCTATTTATTATCAAATTTCAGGATTTGATTTTCTTAACAGCTGTATAATAGTCCATTGTGTATTTGTATTAGAGTTTCCTTAATCAGTCATCTTTTCTCAGGTACTCAGGTTGTTTTCAAATTCTGGCTACTATGAACATTGCTGTAGTGAACATAGAAGTGCAGATGGCATTTCTGCTGTTAGATCTTTGACTTTGGGGATTAAATTTGTGTGAAGGGTGACTGACAAATAGCACTTAGTTTAAAGTATTTGCCCTGCATGAAGTCAACACTGGCTCTCTCACAACACTGCATATGTTCCCCCAATGACTTTCAGGAGTGATCCCCAAACATAGGCTCCAAAGTAAACTCTAAAAACTGCCAGATATGGGGGTTGGAGCGATAGCACAGCGGGTAGGGCGTTTGCCTTGCACGCAGCCAACATGGCCGACACAGGTTCCATTCCCAGCATCCCATATGGTCCCCCGAGCACCGCCAGGAGCAATTCCTGAGTGCATGAGCCAGGAGTAACCCTGAGCATCACCGGGTGTGACCCAAAAAGCAAAAAAAAAAAAAAAACCTGCCAGATATGGCTCAGACACATACCTTTCTTAACTTACTTTAAGATATTTGTTTATCATGATGTTATAAATGGATTTTGATTTAATTCTAGATTATATAGTTTTTTCCTTTTCTGATAGCTTGATATTTGAATAACATTGTGTTTTAATTTACTGCCTGCTATTTTATTGTGGTAATTTATTGTTTTGAATTTACTTTTACTAAATCTTTGGATTTTCTATGAATATTATCACATCTTCTACAAACAGTGATATTTTTATCTCTCTAACTTGAATAAGTTTTATATATTTTTCTTGTTTAGTGAACATTTGACAAGTGTTAGCTCTCCCATATTATACTGGATAACAGCGGTTTGACTTGTCGTTCCCAAAAGAAAAACTTTCAGTTGCCTTCAGATTTTTAACATGAGTATATATGCTTGTCATAAACACCCTTTATAATGTTGTGCAACACTCCTTTTTATAAACATTTGATGGTAATTTATTTGGTTTGTGGTTTCATTTGCCAATAGTCCTTCTCCCATGACCCTTCTCAATTTCACATATACTCTTTTTAAAAGAAATAAAGAGAAAGTGTTCCAATCAAGACTATGAAGAAGGGGGGAGATATTTATAAACTTCAATTAGTTCTCTTATAGCTCAAATTCCAATTAACTCTAAATGACCTTCCTATACCAGATCAGCCAACCACCAGTTTATTTAAAAGAAGATATCCCTGTTGTATTAGGTGGTAGGATGGTGTCAGGCTGGCCTGCATTGCTATTATGACCAGGTGAGTTCTCTACTCAACACTATTATCTTGTTCCTTCTCATTACTGTCTATAATCATAACAGGAAGGACTCTGGGTAATTAAGAATCTTATGGAACCCTACCAAGCTTCATCTCGAAAAGGTTCGCCACAGGTTCTGTCATAGGTTCTCAAAAAGCCATTGACCCAGTGAAACCCTCCGCACAATTATAGACACTCATGGTTCACCTCCGTGGTTGATAGGAGAACCTTGAATATCATCCTGGGGTGTGACTACAGAGAAACTCTGAATCTAAGGCTCTTTGGGTACTATAGGCTCAATGTCAGACCAGATACCTATGGGATTTACATATTAAAGCATTTTTTATGTCAATTGCTAAATCTCAATTCATCCTTTTAAATAAATTACTCACCATCACAATATAGTTAGTGGTCTTTTGACAGTGTCTAAAACTTTGCCCTATTAGAATCATTTTAGAACTTTCAGAAATCTTGAAGTCAAGAAACTTCTGATGCCTCTCTGCCTATCACACAAAATAAAT